TTTTTGTTGGTAATTTTAAATAAAAACCAAATTGCCTAACTGCAACAACACAGGTGTTCAAAAATGATCGATCAATATTAACGCGGATCAATAAATTTTACTTACAATTATATTTGTAATAAAATTCCGCACGACATAACGACTCCGATATTCCATGACGGCAGTTTCGGCTTCATTTATCATGTAAATTAAGACGACAAGTTATTTTAATTATATTTGACTTTTACTGTCATTGTTTAACAAATGAACATTGTTAAAAATTATCGAACAGGTGGGTTATAGTTTTATTTATTCAATTCGTATTCAAAGTCAAAGTCATTTATTCATAGAGGTAACACAATGTACACTTATGAACGTCAAAAACAAGAAAATATATATATGAAATGCTTCTAATTTTAAATTTACTGTCAGTTCTTTAGAACTATTATAAACTCTCCGCCACTCTTTTCAATCGCCAAGTTTTTTATTTAACACAACGTTTGTTGCTGCAACCATTACACCATGTTCCAAGACATCTTAAGTAATAGATAATAGTAAAATAAATTAAAAACAAAGATTCGTCCTCTATCAGCAAGAGGCATGGTGAAATAGGAGCACGCACTTACATTCTCGTGGGAATACGCAAATACATAGTCGAAATAACTAACATCACCGCATACACGAATGGTTCGTTATTAAATTAAAAGGGACGGTCCCATAAGGGCTAGGTTGTGTTATGAAATAAACATTATAAAATAAATCTTTCTACGCACGCGTCTATGGATCTAACATGAAACCGTTTGTTTTCTTATGAGGCCAATTAAGACCATATAGAGCGACAGAAACCAGGCTTTAACGCGTATTTCATTTGTTTGAGACGGGAAATTGTGTGCAAAGGTAGCACTGTCTTTGTTCATGTATGAAGATGAATACCACAATCACACAACACATTAGGTATGTTTGTTTGTATGTTTTTTTCGTAATCGTAAATGTTTGTTTTTTGTAAATACGAGTACATTTATTGTTTCTTTTAAAAACAGCAAAGGACTGGAACTCCTAACCCCGTTCCATCTTACCCAGACAGCATAATATGGGTTCAATTAAGAGGCGGTTAAATAGGCATCTCCTGGGCAGGTGTGCCCTCCAATAGGCCACATCTCACTTAACACCAGGTGGGATTTTCTGTCCAGTTCTGTATATAAAAAAAAGTCAAGATCTCGTAATCTCAAACTGCGGAAGTGGAACCGCAGGTGTAGTGTGATATGCAAATAGACATTAGTTATTTAACTATAAATAAGCTAATAAACATGATAACTAAAGGACATTTGACCAGGTGTATGTTAAAGCATTTTTCTTGGCCTCTTAGATTATAATATCTATTTTTATATATTAATTTATAGATATCTTCTCGTTTGATAGTTTTATTCATAAAAAATGGCGAACTGTGATACCGCCTCCCATGGACACTCACATTGCCGGAAGGCTCGCAAGAGATTGCCGAAAGAATAGGTACTTTTCTTGAAGGTCTCTAAGTCGAATTGGTTCGGAAATAAAACTGTATTTTATTTTTGTTAAATTGAATTCCATAGAGAACATTTGGGGGCTAAGTTCTTTCATAAATATTAGGTCCTTACATATGAAATTGGCGTTTTGTATGGGAGGAACAAAAAGTCGAATATTTTTAATTAATCAAAGTATGAACCATTGTTTTCTATGCACTTTTGCCATCTCAAAGGTAGTTCATTGATCCCTTTACTAAAAAAAACAGTCGGACGGGAATCAATAAAATCTGTGAAGGCGATTTGGACTGCCCCATCAGAGTTAAATTCTTTCCCTTGCAAGAAGTTGTCCAAATTTCGAAAAAAATGGTAATCTGTTGGAGCAAGGTCCGGGGAGTACGGAGGATGTCTTAGACATTCCAATTGAAGCTCTTCTAATTTGGTAGCCGTCTGTTGTGTAGTGTGTGGTCTAGCGTTGTCGTGAAGTAGCAGTGGCGTGGAGCAATTGACCAGCCTAGGTTGTTTAGCCGCTAGCTTTTCCATCATGGTTTGCAATTGCTGACAATAGACATCAGCCGTAATAGTCTGGCCAGATTTCAGAAAACTGCAATGAACAATACCGGCACTAGTCCACCAAACGCTTAAAAGTATCTTTTTTGGGGTTAATTTTCGCTTGGGGCAGGATTTGCCTGGCTGGCCAGGATACAACCATTGCGCTGTGCACTTCCGATTATCGTAAAGAATCCATTTTTCATCAGAGGTTCGGTTTAAAATACCTTCATTATTGTGCCGGTTCAGTAATGTAACGCAGCAGTCGACGCGCGTTTGCCGGTTTCAAGCTTTTTAATCTTCCCAATTTGCTTCAAGTGAATTAAAACAGTTTTATCACTAACACCGCAGCCTGCAACGTGGTTTGCGATGGATCCGCTTCCACAAAAGCCTTCAATACTTCATTATCAACTTGGGTCTCAGGCTGTCCACGGGGCTTGTTCTGCAGGTCGAAATTTCCAGAACGAAGACGTTGGAACCAAAAACGAACTGTGTTTTCTTTTGCAACATGACCGCCATACACATCATTCACCCTTCGAGTCGTTTCCGCAGCACTAGTGCCACGGCGGAACTCGTACTCGTAAATAATGCGATACTTTAAGTTTTCCATTTTGTAAAATGAGTGACGCAAACCGAAAAAACAGAAGAAAAAACAAATGAATGACGATCATCGAAGCACAAGTTACCTAGAAGAAATCGCTTGTTAGCGATAAGGCCGGTCTAATAACTTATGTAACCTGCGTTTTTATATGTATGACGTATAAGGTAACGAAGTGTGAATAAATAAATATACTTTTAACGAATAGCCACTGACTGGCCCGAAGGCCCCCGTGGCTTGGTCGGGGATCCTTACTTTAGGTTAATACTCCATCCATCCTCCACAGACATCTCTGCAGGATATGATTTAACCCCTTAATGCAATAGTATAATAAATAAAAAATAAAATAATAATAAACGTTTCGTACATAGCTGTTTTATGAATTTGGCTTGATTGTCGTTACTTAATAATACAGTTATTTATGGGATTGTGTCCAAACATTATAAATTACTATAAAAGTTTTACTTAAAAATTATTAATGAAAATTATTATATTACGTATGTTCACTGCAAGTATGTTGATACCGTGTCTTATAAATAATACATAATTTTAAAAACATTAATAACTATCGTTTTTAATAGAAACATCCAAGAGCAGTCAGAACAGCTGTTTTTCATCTATTAACGATCGTATGGCTTATTAGTGGCGTAAGAGCGTCGTTATCCTCTCAGGTGCTTATCTAACGTCATATGCCTTATTTGGCCCCTTTGATAAATGCATTAAGCGGTGGCTTAAGCAACGGGTCAGGATCGACCACCGGCCTGGTTGCCCTTTCATAACCCTCGAAGCATTAACGTCCGAGTGGTTTGCGGACTTTTTCAATGTTCAAAAGTTATTTGTTAAATAATTAGGCAGATATTTGGAGATGGCATTAAAACAGATGAGAGCAAATCAACACGTAATCAGTGCGGAAGCTTTTTAGAGGGCTCGCGAGTGCGTTGCCGGCCTTTTAAGACCATTCTTAATACCCATGTACGCTCTTTTCTTGAAAGATCGTAAGTTGAATTGGTTCGGAAATACTTAATTTTAAATTGGAATCGGAAAGCTATAATTTACATCATCTAATTGAATGTACGAAGGAGTTTTGTTTTGTCAGGAAAAGTCCAATGAAATAAGCAACAAAGCGTTGAAATCCATTACAACAAATCAGTTTAAATAACCAAAGATAAGAATCTTCTAACAAATAAAACAAGAAAGGATCGCATTATGGTACACCAACGTTGAAATAACGGCAGCAAAAATAAAATTCCCGAAATAGATGCATGGTTAATTACATTAAACACTTAGAATAAAAAACAGAATCAAGGTGCTAAAACACAATTAAAAATAAAGTGGCAGACGCACGGTAATCGTGAGTGTGCTGTAATTCGGGACGTGTTCCCGCGACAGGTGAATACTTACCTCCTTGAATACACAGGACACAATTAGCGTACCAATTAAATAGGCATCACAGGAAAAAAAATCCACAGAGCAAAGTGTACGAATTGTCAATGTCAATTTATTTTATGGTAATTCGATTATCTATGATTCTGTATTCGAATTTGCCGATAGTTTATTTTATATTAAGTATAAAATAGAATTTGTTTAGAATTACCTCTAGTAGAAAGTCTCTAGAAAATGATGTCGCAGAAAGATTTCTGAGTCTATTTCGTTAATCATTTATTCACAAGCAGTTTTCTGAGTCTTGCAACTATTTTATGCCGGAAATTGTGCCTAGGAATTTAAAGAAGGTTATATATATACATTGTATACTTAAGGAACAGGAAATGTTCTCATAAACACAAAAGAATGTACCAATTATTAAAGGCCGGCAACGCACTCGCGTGCCCACTGGCATTGACGGTGTCCATATGGGCGGTATATAACATCAGATGAGCCTCCTGTTCTATAAAAAACACATTTCTCACAGCCATAGATTAAAAAGCGTCATAAATCTTAATAAGGACAATTTATGATTGCAATTAAATTTTTGTGTCAATAAAGTGTTTTGCGCGTATTAATTATATCCTAATTGAATATTTTTCCATATGAGATATAATTACTTATCAATTAAGACACTATAGTTTGCGTAATTCCTGGAATTTGCATACTTCCCCTACAATGTGCAAATGCATATTTTATTGTTTTATTTCTTATATTAAATTCATCTTATACTACATTGAAGGTTTAGTGGTTGGGAATACGTATATAAGCGTTATTAGTTCGTTTACAGGTATTTGATTTCACAGACTTAAGTGTGTAGTATTAACGCCATTGTATGAAAATCGTTTTGCGCGTATAGCTTTACTAACTTCTAATACTACTATAATAATACCACTAATACTTTTAATACACAATAGAACAATTTAGTGGCAAGTCATTTGTTTATTTTACAAATGGTAATTACTGCGGTTGAAAGTGAGCAGTAAATACAAAAGTAGTACAACAAAGAGCGATTCGAGTCGTCAACGACCAGTCACTTTCCGTGCGGCTTGATCCCTTGGCGTTGCGTAGAGATGAGGGATTAGGTAGAAGAGAGAGATCCCTCATGGTAATCCATGGAGAATGTTCAAAGGAGTTGTTCGGACTAATACCTGAGTTTCATCATCGGACGTCAAGGCAAAATACAATATACCATCCGTATCACCTCGACTTCAGTCATTCCACAACTGAGCGTTTCTTAAGGCAATTTTTTCCGCACAGTATGTGGAACCAGCTGCCCACTGAAGTATTTCCGAACCAATTCGACTTTAGAGTCCTTCAAGAAAAGAGCGTACCATTTCTTTAAAGGCCAGAATCCACTTGCGAGTCACCTGGCCATGTGAGTTTCACTTACCATCAGGTAAACCTCCGGCCCGTTTGCCTCCTGTTACATAAACAAAGATTAGTTTTTGCTTCATTTAAATTTATATTTATGTTGACTGTTAAACTCGTTGAAAAGCTGTGAACTATTCTCTAATTTAGTTTTTGTTGTTTTTTTTGTAATAGGAGGTATTGGCAGGAGGTTCACCTGATGTTAAGTGATACCGCTGCCCATGGCTCCATGCCTCGCGAGTGCGTTGCCGGCCTCGTAAGAAATGGAAAGAATCTTTTCTAGAAGGATCCGAAGTCGAATTGGTTCGAAAATACTTCAGTGGGCAGCTGTGTTAGGACTTAAAGAATTAGAATACTGTCCGCACTCAGCTGTTGGTCCTACCCATGCGTGACAAGTTTTTACATTACGCTTACGAGTTAGATACTAAGCAAATGTAATTTATTAACATACAATTTATATGAATTGCATTAATTTCCTAATAGAGACGAGTGATTTTTTATTATTGCACGCGATTATCGGTCTAATAACTTAGTGTCTTAAGTTATGTCTTGAGAGGTTTAAAGGGAATAAATAGTTTATTTGCAAAGATACAATTAGATTAGTACAATTAGATCGATTAATTATAAAAACCGCATAATCAGCCATACCTGTATAAATAAGCATACTAATGTCATATCAATTTGTATAATGTCACTAGCTGTCCCCGCGAACTTCGTTTCTCCTTAATGTGATTTTACTTAGCCTACCTTTAGTACATACCAACGTTGTATGTATTTTTGTATGCTGTATAAAAAAAAAAATATTTTGGGGTGGACCCCTTATTACTTAGGGATTTGAAATATAGATAGTAGCCGATTTTCAGACTTACTGAATATGCATAAAAATTTTCATAAGAATCGGTCGAGCCGTTTCGGAAGAGTATGGGAACGAACATTGTGACACGAGAATTTTATATATATTAATGTCATAATAAGAACATTAACTTAGTTATTTATAATTGGTGTCAAACTTATAGCCTAAATACTCGCCCACGCTAGCCTAGTTGCTAGCATAATCAGCCTATCTAAGTGATACATGTATCTTATGTTCCATAATAAACATATTTTATCATAATAACGTTAATTATCTCTTTTCTTGAATAAAAATAAGAGTGTTTTACGTGATCGACATCGAATGCAGTATAAGGCACATTTTAGTGTTCCATCCGGAGATCGAACCCGGGAATCTGCGGTCTATCTAAGTGTAATAGCCCTCGCGCACATAAATAACGTTAAATACACCCTTAGCGAACCAAAAGAACCTCTCATTAAGATGTATGAGCGAATGTATAAAATTTTTTGCTTAACTAATTGGACACAAGGCAAGAATGTGTTCGCACGGTTTGGGCTCGGCTGCTTTTTGCATTGAATAATTTATGACATTTTTTCTCATTCGTTCTGTACTTTGTATTACAGAAATGCACCCGACGCTTCAAGGAACAATCAAGGTACGTTAATTATGTAATAATATATAGATATTATTAATGTTATGAAGCACAATGGTTGAACTTGCAAAAATTACTGGTTCAAGTTGAAAAGCAAGTTTTATTTTATAACAAAAAACTATGGCGATTTGTTTTATCAAATAGGCAAGTAGGTGATCAGTCTCCTGAGTTTGATACACGCCGTCGACTTTTTGGGTCTTAGGCGATTTCACGATGTTTTTCTTCACCGTATGAGCGAGTGGCGTGCACATTAGACAGAAAGTTTATTGGTACATTGAACCTACCTCAGGGATGAGAGTCGCACGCTGAAGTTACAGGGTTCCTAATATTTTTTATAAACAAAATCCCTGAGACCCATATAAATGTTTTAGTTTATAGTACTATTTACCGGCGCAGTTTTATGACCAGATTAATTGTAATTAATTATATAAGTGTTTTAAAATAAAATTTATCAAATGGACGTTTCTCAAGGCACTTTGCCACGTACCTACTACCACCTTTTTCTTATAGAACAGGGGGCAAACGAGCAGGAGGCTCACCTGTAACCGATAACGCTGCCCAATGTCACTCAATGCCAGATAGGGTTGCTCGCGAGTGCGTCTCCGTTTAAGAATTGGTACGCTCTTTTCTTGGGCCTTCAACTTAAGGTTCTTGAATATTGTACTAATTGTTAAGAGGAACGTACTTGCAGCTTCTAGCATTTTGAGTGCCCATGGGCCGGTATCACTTACTACTCAAGGCCCATTTGCCTTCTGTACTATAATTATAATCAAGGCGTGAAGTTTTATTTGCATTTAATTTTACACGCTTTGATTTTATATACACTTTTTGTTAGTATAGGTTAGATTTCGTTTTGAATTATTATTCGTATTTCGCATTTACGCCGGTACTACAGAACATTGGCTTCCGAATCCCGGAATAGTTGCGATCACGGCAGTATTAGGCGTTATAACGCACAAATATTAGGAGAACTATAACGACGAGTTCGTTATCGCTAATGGGAGTTACTATATAAGTATCATTATTTATTTGGATTCATAAATCTTTCTAATATGTGCCGTTGAAACATTTAATACGAAAGATTAATAGGTTATAGGGGGCTCTTACTTCGGTCATGTTTTGATTGTCCTCTGAAACTGTATTTATCCTAGTAGTTCTCATCTCTTTTTGGCGCCTCTTCATTACTGGACGTTGGCCGTCAGTCTCGTGTTCTATACCAGATACAGCAACTCTTCCGCAGTCGCAATACCCCTCCACTCCCTAACGTTACGAAGCCATGATTGTTCCCATAGAGCGGTCTCTGTTTAAATATATTTTTCACAATAGTATAAAAGTAGCTGTTAAGGATTATCTGTGTCGTACTTCGGTCATTACGTCACGTTTTCTAATTTAAGGTATCGATTGCACCGATATTGGGTCGCTGATTAAACGCAGCAGGTCCAGCAGCTTGAGCACACCTGGCAAGCAACTCGTGAGGAAGCGCACCTCGTCTGGAATCTTCCAGGTATATTGTCTAGCGCCGTAAGCCTGTTTTAATGTTATTGGAAACAATTATAACGTTCTTTAAAGTTGTATATTTAGAAGGATTTAGAAAAGTAGTTTGTTATGATTTACATACTTTTACGGGTCTGAGGGTAAGATGCAGAACGAGACTACCGTATGAAATAGTATACGTTCATATTTGTACTTAGAAATTCTTGAAGTCAAATTTGGTTAGTTTACAACTGATGTAATTCGGTGTCTAAGACTAAGCTACGATTTTGGCCCCACCAAATGGACAATTGTGTAATTAAAAATACAGATAATAATGATGCACGTTGCACAAATTAAAGTTTGTTTCAATACTTTAAATAAATTAATTGATATGTTTAAAATTTAAGTGTCTATTTTTTTGTTTAAAAATAATTACTTTTAAATACACTCTCAGATTGACGTTTCTTGTAGTTTCAGATGATAGTGTTTAATGATTTTACAAGGAATACATAACATATGATAAAACACAACATTTTATAGAAAATTAATCTTTACAGATTAGTAAATCATACCAAAAAACATATACCTTAGACTTACGAAGTTTGATGTTTCTGTATACGATTATGTAAAATAGGTTTGATCTATCTTGATCGCGACTCGGCTTAGCTTCGACCGTGTCTGAATCTCACCCTCATTCATCCGTTGTTGGTTCTGTGCATTTAATTTTAAAAAATATAGCCTATTATTAAAAAGTTGTGACAGATTTAAGATATTGTTAAAACTGCAGTTGTTAAATGTAAAATCTTGATGATAAATTTTTGTTGTAATAAAATTATTTGTGAATGAGAATAATATTGTTGATTGGGCTTAACTCTTTTCAGTTGACTGAGGGATAATGGTAACAAAATAAACCTCATTTTGGGCCATTGTTGTTGTGTCAAAATTGTCACTGTCAAAATATGATTAGGCGGGAAATATTTCAAAATGGCGGATTTGGGTGCCAGATCGTATTTCCCTGCTTATATTTACAGTACTCATATGTCTCTTATCATCACAGTGTAAACACATTTGAAAGAAAGAGACGAAGTAATTTTATTTAAGAAAAAAATATAGTAATTTGGTTTTATAACAAGGGGGTAGGTATATATTATGAAAATGCGAAGTTATTTTACAGGACTGTTTTAATTATTGTACTTTGTCCTTTTCTATCAAATTTTGGTTTCGTTATGATTATAAGAGCCAGAAGATTGGTTTTATAGTTTGATAAAGAATTTTTAATAAATAAGTTAAATATGAAAATTCTTATATTTTTGACAGAAATCTTAAATTGTTCAAGCAATCGTTATTATTAAAAATTAAAGAAATGTTGTGAAATAACTCTTATTCGTTGATCATAAACATATTTAATGTCAAGTGAAGTTAGTAAAATAATAAATTTTTATAGGTTGAGGAAACAGAGCCTCCCCCAAAGAGGCCAGAAATTCCCCAAATGGAACCCGAGAAGGAAAAAACGCGGGAAATTCAGACCAACGGTCGCCGGAAAGTATCCGAAGAGAAAAAGAAAGAGAAGCCCGCAAGTTTGAAAAAGAAAGATATAGAAAGAAGAAAAGAGATTGTGTTAGATAAGTTTGACAGTAAAAGTACGACACAGTGTGTAGCGGCTTTTAAAGAAAGTGATTGTTGGGATTAATAATAAATGAACGTGAACTTTATTTTGATGTTTTGATTGTCCTCTTAATGTTGTTATTCGTAGTAGTACTCTTCTTCTTTTCTTCTCAGTCATATTCTTCATTGCTGAAGGTCGTGTCACTGTAAGGTACCTGCTGCCCTGCTGGTGATATCTCTCCACTTTGTTCCGTTAATAGCTTCCCCTGGCGCAGTTGTTATGGGGAGACCCGTGAGGATCGTGACGTCACACCAGCGGGTTGGCGATCATCCCCGCGGCTTTTTTCCTTTCAACTTGCCGACGACAACTAGCTTGTCCAGGTTGTCTGGTTTGCGACGGGCAATATGACCAAAGTGAGTAAGTATTCTTCTATAATATGTTGTTGAGAGTCTCGTACGAACTCCGAGTTGATCCAAGATTGAGTGGCTAGTTCTTTTAGCGGTCCATGGTATACGAAGCATCTTCTCTATCACCACGAATGAATCAATTCTTTTCCTGTCTTGAGCTCGAATCGTCCATGACTCTTATTCTTTTGGCCTCTCTATTACTGGAGGTTGACCGACAGTCTCGTGAAGCGTGTCTTGCTCTGTGCCAGGTGCAGCAAATTTCCGCAGTCGCAAAACCCGTCCACTCCCTAACGTTCCGAAGACTTTTTCTATCTACCAACAAGCCGTTTACCCTAGCGGTCATGGTGCAGGAACGCTTTCCGTTGTTTGTGTTCCAACTAGATTAAGAACTTTCTCGAAAGTTCACACCTTCTGGATCCAGCCTATACGAACCATGTGACGATAACACCACATCTCAAATGCTTCTAAGCGCCGCCGTTCTTTTATTGTCCAAGCTTCTCAGCCTATTGAACAAATGGCCATATGTAACAAAGGAAAACTCCGAGTCCGAGATTATTAATACTACAATTTTTTATTAAGCAGTTATTAGAAAACATTTACGGATACCAGTTTACGGATGGATCCAAAGTTGGATTCATCCTGGGTTTGGGCCATTTTTTATTTAAAGAGGAGGCAAACGGGCTGGAGACTCACCTGATGTTAAGTAATACTGCCGCCCATGGACACACATTGCCACAAGGCTCGTAAGTGCGTTGGCGACCTTTTAAAAATTAGTACCCTCTTTCCTGGAAGTATGAAAACCTATAGATTTAACCAAAGCTTAGCTAATTTACTGTAGGCAAAATTGAACCCTGTTATATACACTGATAATTTAGCCATAGACAATACAAGATATTTAGAAAACAGATATTCAATTTTCAACGATCTTGATGACTTTTAATTGCAGATAAAAAATTAATTACTCGACTACCCACAGACAGTAATTAACTATATGCAGCTTTTAAAATAACATCGAACCATATAATTATAAATTAATTATTTTATATAATTACCTATTTGTTTTCAATTATTCATTCTTAAACATTTTGCAGTTCAATTATCTACCTTAACTGTATTTAAAACTTTGACGGTGGTCCTGGTGTCGATTTGTGGCGATACAAAACGTGCTGCTTGCCTTACGAAGGATAATTATAGTATAAACATTTATACCATGTATTTTTTAAAGTTAATCCTATTTAACTAACTAGTGTGCATAAACAAGTAGGTACACTTATGAACATCAACAGAAAAGATGTTAAATTGATTCATAAATTTACATTTACTACCACTTTGCAAGTCGAGGGCGTAGAGCGGGCAAGAACCGGCAATAAACTCTCCGCCACTCTTTTTAATGTTTTGAGCCATACAAATTGTTTGAACAGGAGCAAATCAATCCCAAGGATTAGGATCATTTAAATCATCGGCAAATTTATAAACGTGACGAAGTTTTTCTCGTCATAGATATAATTAGTTATTCTCAACCGTATTACCTTTTGTCAACTGTATGACGGCCGTCGTAAGGGAAAATTAAAGGAGGGAGATCTCAGTGCAGAGGAATCAGTACCCACGTAGTCCTGGAATTCGTGGCTGTGGCTTCCCAACGAGCAGAAATCCTTGGACTGCTCCAAGGATTTCTGCTCGTTGTGGTCGCTCCGCGAAGCCTGCGAAGTGCCCGGGCAACTTCTGAACTTCTGGAAGAAGTTAGGCTGGCTTAATGGAATGGCCCATTGGGAAGAAAAAGGAGAGGACGCTCACCACGCGTGGGAAGATGAAAAGTGGGGAATTATTGGAAAATAGTAGCAAAGATAGATACTTAAGTTCAAGAATTTGGAGGATGTCCTCACTCCGTCGGACTACTATTCGTATTAAATATTATAATTGTACTAGTATTAAATTACTATTATATTTTTTAAATTTTATTTATTGAGAAAGATTTACAGCTACTAACTTACATACTTGATATAAAGTTCTTTTTATCATTAAACAAATCATTACATATATTTAGGTACTTAATAATTTAATGGATTGGTAACAATACAATCATTTTAATCCAACTATCTATCAAAGAAAGCAATAAACTAACTAAACTTACTTAGTTAAGCAACACAAAGGGTAGTATACCTTACACACTTACAAAAACTTATGATACACTATTCCACTGAGGAATTCAGATGTCAGAGCTCTCTTACCGACACTACACTTGAGGCGATATCAACAGTTAAATTGTTAAACTTACCCGCCGCCCTAACAATAAAGCTGTTCCCTCTGTAATTGGTGTTGACTTCAGGTGTATGCAATAGGTGCATATTTTAGCGCGTTTCATACACCTACAAGAACATACTACTAAAACTTAATGTGACCTTACAAACTAAAACCTTTTTTATTTTTTTTATTGATAACAAGCTTGCCAACGCTCGGCACACTGATACATTGGTAAAAAACAAAAGACTCAAGGGCAAACATGACATGTAACATGTAGAGATCATCAACAAACATTACAAAAAAAAACAATTACTAATAAAAAAAAATTAAAATTACAAAAAACTAAACAAAAATCGATTTTATAGTGTGAGGGGCGCAACTATGAATATCCAGACCTAGGTCGTTTATCAGAATGGAATAATGGGATGCCTGGGGTATCGAGAGGGTACACGAAACTTAAATTTAGATAGAAGGTTCGGGCAATTAATCTGATTATTAAATATCTTAACTGCAAACGATATATCAATTAATTTTCTGCGATTCTCCAATGACAACATCTTAAAGTGCGCCAAACTACACCTTATTTTTTTAAAGTTTCCACCAGGTTGCCGTGGTGATCTACACACTTTTTTATGACAAAAAAGGAATTATGTCTATCCTGTTAAACTATAAAACCATTTTATTTCTATATTCACTACTCAAGTGAATATTAAGTGAGTTTTTTAAATTAATGAGAAGTTTATAAAGTAATAAATTGTATCGCTCGAGATAATAGAATTCATAATTACCGGCGCTGTTGTTTTGATTCAGGTGTATGTGGAAGTAATAAATTAATACTGAAATAAACAAGGACGACAAAAAATATTCTAATCTAGTACAACTCCCACGCATGCATATATAAATTATTATAATTATGTTGATTCCTGGCGAAGTTAATTAAATATGCGGAAATAATTCAGATGTTACATGTAAACTAATCATTGAATAAATGTTGTTTTCTGTAAATTATGACAATTAAAATATTACCCAATCGAGAAGAAAAGAGGGCTGTTATACAATTTCTTCTTCTTTTTCATTTCTGAGGTTCATCTGGTGATATGAGCTCTTCCACAAATAATGTATGTTCCAAATGCGTTTGCGTTTTCCAATCTCTTGCAAACTCAAGTGCTTTTGGTAATAAAAAAACATTTAAAGGCTGTTATATAATAAATAATTCTTCCACGTCGTGTGATAGTCACCTGCATTTGGGATTTCCAAGGGCATTGCAGAGAAAAGGCATCTGCCACTAGGAAACCCCAGCTATACGGTGACATATCATTAACTCCAAAATGAGAACTGAAATAAAATACATATAAACGTAACATTATGCCTCAAATAGCTAAGAAATATTTTGGCGATACTACTTTAGATTGTCTTTATTACGTAATAAACGTTCAGAGACCGTTTTCAGCATGTTCAAGTCCACATTTTTATAAAAATTATTTAACTAAACGCTATATTACATTACATCGATGTTTCGAGAGCTTTTTAGCAATCGTGGTCTGTGGGAGACTGTCACATCAATGACAGATAACCTTTTGATATTACGACTAATTCGAGTTTCTTAAAACGTTTCTATAATAACGCTGACAATAGAGAAGTTAAGTCGAAACAAAATATCAAGTGACCACTTCAGAGCGAAAACTAAGATCACCGACGCGTTAATCAAATTCAAAATCATTTAATCATATAGGTAACACAATGTACACTTATGAACGTCAATAAAGAAATACATATTAATGCTTCTAATTTTACATTTACTGCCAGTTCTGAAATCAAGGCGTAGAACGGACGAGAAGAACTGGCAATAAACTCTCCGCCACTCTTTTTTAATCCACGCCTTACAAAGCAAAGAAACATGGGAGTACCATAAATAATAGGAAGCCCGGATGGGTGGAGAGAAGCAAAGAACAGATCCAAATGGAAAGTTAAGGAGGAGGCCTTTACTGAAAAGGGAAACTGCAGAACACTAAGTAATGGAAATAACTAACGTAGACTAAGAGTTTATTAACAAAACTAACACCCAGTTGATATGTAATTTAGTATGGAATTAAAGTGGCTTTATTACTATTATTATACAAATATGACTGGGTACCCTTGTTTCAGTATGTCGGTGACGAAAAGGACTCAAAACGTGGAGTCATTTTGATAATAAATTCACCTTTATTTATTTATTTATTAACACTTCGTTGCATATACATTAATATAGTACAATTGACATAATTAAATAAAAAGGAGAGCAACTGGCGGCTTACGAGCAATCTCTTTCAGGCAACCACTGTGAGCAAAGAAAAAAAAAGTATTAAATTACATGTGGTAGGCAAGAAGTGCAATAATACATGTATTACATATAGTTGTTAACTAAACTAATAAAGGATACATAAAAAAAATAAAAAG